ATCTATCATCCTTCCATTTTCTGTAACTCCTTATCCTGTTGGCCGAGCCTAAGGATTGTTAATTTGTTCATTCATTCATTTTCCATAATCACTTATCCAGTTAGGGGTGGGAGTGACTGTGGGAGGAAGCTGGAGCACCTGGAGGAAACCCACGTTGACACAGGGAGAACATGGTAACTCTGCATGGAGGGGCTTCCCCCACCCCGGGGTTTGAACCAGGAACTCTCTTGCTGTGAGGTGACAATGCTAACCACTTAACCACTGTGCCACCCTGTCATCTTAAGAAAAATACTTTTAAATCAAAGAGTTGAAAATAATAACAGTATTGTCTCCTCTTAATCTATACATGAGAATACATATTAGCTGAATCTGCATTGTCAGCTGTCAAAGCAAAAGTCATTGGTAGGATCACTTCAGTGGTCAAATTGTTACAGCAAATGCCACATAACCACAACATCCTTAATTTGATTAGAAAAATATACACATACACGTATATATCTGTAGGTCATCTTTGGAGTTTAATTCAGGAAACGTTATTTATGTGATTTTATGTTCGCAAGCTGTACAATTACATTTTGTTTTGTTTTTTCTAATTCTGAGAGGGTCCAGGACAATGGAATAACCACATAAAATATGCAAACAACAAAAATTATCTTGAAGTGATGCAGAACAAACACAAAACAACCATAAAATGACAAGAAATACACACAAAGTGATGTATAACAATGACAGTAAGATGTAAAACGACCAGAAATATAAGTAAAATTACCACAAAGAAACCAAAAGGCAGGAGAGACGGCCACAAACAGGATTTAAAAGACCATAAAAAGATGCAAAATGACTTCAAAGCGGCATCTGAAGTATCTGAAATGAATTTCATACAATCACAAAATGATGGGAAGGTACAAGAGACACAAAGCCATCTCATAAACACGCAGATTGACTTTTAAACAGTAGTATAATTAATGAAGTCGGATGTTGACAGAATGGAGCAGAGTGAAGGAAACCAGCTCTTGCTTGCTGTGTTCTCTGCTGAGAGGCGGCAGTTTTACACCATGGTTACACTGACACCATGTGGCCGGCTGTACAAACTGCATGTTATCATGCATTGGCTCTAGTTGGATCAGTTCATTGGTGTTTTTAGTATTTTTAAAGGATCTGTTGACAATAAGAAAATTACAGAATCATGGTTTTATTCATAATTAAAAGCTGTCCCATCACTTATGAAACTCACAACAATGAAGACATTAAAGTAAAACCATGTTGTGATAATAACAAATTATTTCCTCATAGGAGAAGTTATATGCTATGACATTTTACGCACTTTTTGACGACATACTATACCAGGACGTTTTTCAGAACATTTTGATGACATACTATACTATGACATTTTTCGTGATTTTTGACAACAAACTATACGATGACATTTTTTCATGATTCCTGATGACATACTTTACTATGAAGTTTTTTCTTGATTTTTGACGACACACTATACTATGACTTTTTGTCGTGATTTTTGAAGACACACTTTACCATGACGTTTTATCATGATTCTTGACGACATACTATACTAAGTTTTTTCTTGATTTTTGATGACGTACTATATACTATGACGTTTTTCGTGATTTTTTTCAAGACATACCATGACGTTTTTCATGATTTTTGACGACATACTATACTATGAAGTTTTTTCATGATTCTTGACTCATACTATACTATGACATTTTTTGATGATTTTTGACGACATACTATACTATGTAGTTTTTCATGATTCTTGACGACATTACTATGACGATTTTTTATGATTTTTCGGTGACATACTATGCTATGACTTTGTTGTTATTTTCGAGGACATTCTTCATTATTGCGTTTTTTGTAATACTTGATTAATTACTATACTATTACTTTTTTGGTGATTTTTGATTACATACTATACCATGACGTTTTTTGGTGATTTTTGACAATATATTATACTATGACGTTTTTTGGTGATATTTGACGACATACTATATTATTAAGTTTTTCCATGATTCTTGATGACATACTAT